AAAAAAAAAAAAAAAGAGAGAGAGAGAGAGAGAGAGAGAGAGAGAGAGAGGATTATATGTGGAAACAGAAAATATCTACATGACACTTTTGATGAATATTTGAATTGCAATTTCATAGGATTAAAACTAATATGATCTTTTGAGGCCTCCCTTTCCTTAGGAATAGGCTCCTATTTGCCTTGAGAGGTTCTTCTGAGGCAAAAAAAACACTGTTATGTGTGTATTGTAGAAAAATACCAAGATAAATAAAAATGAAGCTGATGATCACTATCAAATGATAGTTTTAAGAAGTTCTCTGATTCAGTAAGTCTGATGCCATTCCCACAAACTCTTTTTTTTAATGTATTTTTAGTTGTAGATGGACACAATACCTTTATTTTTTTTATGTGGTGTTGAGATTCGAACCCAGTGCCACACACATGCTAGGTAAGTACTCTACCACGAAGGCACAACCCCAGCCTCCACAAACTCTTAAGTCTAAGGTCCACATTTGTAACCAGGCAATCGTATTAGTCACTATAAAAATAAAACCAAAGATAAAACCAAAACAACAATAGCAATAATACTATCACATTTAAATGCCACTCAGTATTTTTAATATTTATTTTATTTATTTATTTATTTATTTATTTATTTATTTATTTATTTTTAGTTTTCGGCGGACACAACATCTTTGTTTTTGTATGTGGTGCTGAGGATTGAACCCGGGCTGCATGCATGCCAGGTAATCGCGATACCGCTTGAGCCACATCCCCAGCCCCCGTATATCCTATTTAATCTACAGAATCCTGTAGGACAAATGAGGTAGATAGTTCCTTTCTTTAGGAAACAAACACCAACAAGTGAAATAACTTACCTAAAGTCACAATACTTACCAGAATTGAAATTGGAACTAGAACCCTGGCTTTTAAATCCTTAATCCTGCTAGCTGGACACATTAACAACATAACTTCTATAGTTCTAATAATGTTATCAATTTTGGGGGCTGATGGTGTAGCTCAGTGGTAGAGAACCTGCCTTGCTACCCAAAGCCAAGCAATGGGTTCTAATCCCAGTACCACAAACCAAAAAAAAAAAAAAAAGTATCAACTTTGGGTTTAGCAGCAACATTTAATGAGTGCTGGGGGGGGGGGTGGTCCTAGAACTAGGAAGACTAGAAAAGTCTTTCTCCTGCATATCCCAGTTACCCTGGGAGGAAATTTAATAATACAATGTCATTTTCTTTGTCTTTTTCTTGTCCTAGCCCTAGAGATCAGGAAAGCAAAAACCAAAACAAGGACCCAACACCTGTAAGAACATAGTGATGAACAATAATCTAAATGGAAACATTAAAAAAATTTTAAAAAGGGGCTGGGGATGTGGCTCAAGCGGTAGCGCGCTCGCCTGGCATGCGTGCGGCCCAGGTTCGATCCTCAGCACCACATACCAACAAAGATGTTGTGTCCGCCGAGAACTAAAAAATAAATGTTNCACCATCATGATCACCATCACCACCATCTTTACGGTCACCATTATACCATCACCATCACCATCATCATTACTGTCTCCATTACACCATCATGATCACCATCACCACCATCTTTACTGTCACCATTACACCACCACCATCACCATCATCCTTACTGTCACCATTACACCATCACAACCACCATCACCATCATCATTATTGTCACCATTACACCATCACAATCATCACCATCACCACCATCTTTACTGTCACCATTATACCATCATCATCACCACCATCACCATCATCACCACCACCATCACCATCATCATCACCATCACCACCATCACCACCATCTTTACTGTCACCATTACACCATCACCATCACCACCTTCATCTCTGTCACCATTACACCATCACCATCACCATCACCACTATCTTTACTGTCACCATTACACCATCACCATCACCATCACCATCATCATCACCACCATCACCACCATCACCACCACCATCACCATCACCATCATCATCACCATCACCGCCATCACCACCATCTTTACTGTCACCATTACACCATCACCATCAACACCATCACCACCATCATCACCATCACCATCATCATCACCACCATTATCACCATCACCATCACCACCATCTTTACTGTCACCATTATACCATCACCATCACCACCTTCATCACTGTCACCATTACACCATCACCATCACTGTCATTATAATTATCACCATCTTCTTCATCACTGTATCCTGATAACCACTGTCACCATCCCCACGGTCAGCATGACCACCCTCACATCACCATCACCGTCTTCATCACCATACCTGGATAGCCACTGTCACCAGCACCAGCACCAGCACCATTATTCCCACTGTCAGCAGCATCACATGGTCACCACCACAATAAAAAGACGAAGTTGACATGAGGCTCGTCTAGGGCCTTCCAACACGAGGGTCCAATTCTCTGCTCCGGCCAGCAGTCACCATTTTTCGAGTTTCTCGAGGTTCTCTTCTGGAGAGTTTCAGTTCTGTCTGAGAGTTGGTTCTTCTCCATGGTGCACTCTGTCCCCTCAGATCACACCCTACTGTGCAAAGAGCTTATCAAGTCCCCACCAGGCCCCTCCTGGGGTCCCCTGGGGGTTCAGCCAGCAGCAGAGTTGCACCAGTTGGGATCCCTGTCAGGTGGAGGGTGCTCAAGCCACGGCCTCTGGGACCCACCTCCCCTGGCCTAGTCCTTGGCGGACCCCTCAGGTGGACACCCCGACCCTCTGAACCTGCCTGCCTCTCCCGCAGGTGACCACCTGTGCTGTGAGAGAAGAGAAGTGGGGCGAGATGGACATAGGGGACTTGTCAGAAGACGAGTGAGTGAGGCCTGTGGGCTTGCACGGGGAGGAGGACCCCCAGTGCCCCTCACGTGGGTGCACGCAGAGGTCAAGCATTCATTAGACTGAAGGGACTGAGAGGAAGCACCCTATTTCCCTCTGACCCTACCCTACTGAGATGATGGCATTAAACCCCGTGTGTTTGGCTCTGAGTCCAGGGCTCCTGCCGAGGGAAAGGGGGGGCTGCTGCCTCGCTGCAGGGAAAGGGCTGGCTGCCATTTTCCAAGTGGCTCCCCTCTGGCCTCCTGACTTTGGGGCCCCTGGGCAGGCCTAGCTCCTCCCTGATCTCTCATATTGAAGGTTCCCTCTGGCAGAGAACAGGAGACCTGGGGCTAGCTGGAGGACAGGGTAGCAGACTGGCTCTGCTGGGGTCTGCTTCTGCCGTAGCCTCCAGGCTGTGGAGAGTGCCCTGGGGGGGTGGAGTGAGCACCGTCCAAGTGGGGAGCAGGCTGGAGCAGGGCCAGGAAGGGTCTTTTCTTACCACAACACCCTACTTTTGGCCTCTAGGACCAGGACCAGCTGGGTGTGCTGTATCCCTTACCCCACCAAGAGGAAGGCGAAGGGGTGTGCAGCAGCCCTGGAGAAGGTACTTAGCTCCGGGAGAAGAGGGAGGGGCGGGGTGGGGAGAGCACCGGTGGTCACACACCCTGTGCCTTTCCAGGACCCCTCGGACCCGGCTCCCAGGGACTCTCTCGGGATGGGCCAGAGCTGAGAATGAGGGTCAGAGGAAGCTGAGGCTCCCAACCCTCCCCAAGAGTGCAGCCTTGAGACCATCGGCCGAAGCCCTGGACACTGGGCACRACGTCCTACTTCAAAAGACGCAGGGTAAGTTGGCTGGACACACTTTCTCTGAGGTGTGGAAAGGGGCAGGAGTGTGGCTCAGCCTCGCAGGCCATGTGGTCAGAGACTGTCGGTGACCACACTCAGAACTGCTGAGGGCCCAGGTGATGGTACAGGACTCTGCAGTGGGGGAAGCCGCCCAGCAGCCTGACATCCTCCTCTGACAGTTGCCTGGAGTAGCCCTGACGGAACTAGAGGACGGGGATCCCAGTGCTGCACTGGGGAGCTGTATGGCTCAACTTGGCAGAGGAGAGAGGGACCCCCCCCTTGGGCAGTGGTCAGGATGCCCGTCCCCCACTCCCCAGCATCCCCAGCTTTCCTGACTCATGGTCCAAGAGGCTCAGTGCTCAGGGAGGTTCTCATAACCCAAGCCCCAAGCCCCAGGCAGGCCAAGCAGGGTGCTGCAGGGTACAGCCCTCCTCCATCTCAACTCAAGTCACGTGGAGTTCCTGAAACTAGCCAAGTCCTCTGGAAAACTGACCCTTATTCCTGGTCCAGGCTCCGAGCAGCTCCCACCCTTGGGAAAAGGCCATACAGACTGTGGGGCCTGCAAGCAGTGAGCAGCCTGGGTCCCTCACTGTGCCATGAGTAGCCTTTAGGGAGCCTTTAGGGAGCAGGCATAGGCCCAGGCCCTTCTAGAGCATTCTGCCTGCACTGGTGGGCCCCATGTCCCTTGGGTGGGTAAGGAGATGAGGGTGCCTCTTCTGGCAGCCAGGACAGGTGTTGGCTGCTGCAGGTCGTCCTGAGTCAGTCCTGTCCTGTCACCTTTAGGAAGCAGCCCCTCTGTTTGCACCAGGTCCTGCAGTCCTGCAGGTCTCGGCTGGCCAACAGCGCCCCCTGGTGGCAGGCTTCCCCTCACGGCTCTGCTTTCAGTCCTAGGAAACACCATCCAAGAGGGGCTGCGGCACTGGACTCCACCTACCACAAAGTTTACACTCCTCCACTGCTTATTCATTAAAGGACAGGCCAGGATGTGCTTGGTGGCTGGCACTTCGTTATGACTCTGCATTGGAGCCTAGGGGGCCAGGCTCTGCCTGGGGGGCCTGGGTCCTGACCAGCTTGACTGTGGGGCCCCAAAGCAAATCCCCACAAGCTCTGCACAAAACAAGAAGCAGAAGCACAACCCCTCACAGGAAGACCTCAGTCCCCGAGTGCCCCACAAGGGACAGGGGGATGTGCAGGCCAGGGGAGGACAGATGTCTGTGGGCCATGGCAGGCAGGGCCCTGCGGGGCAGCGCATCTGATCTCTGACTGCCAGAAGGCAGGGAAGTGCAAGAAGTCCCCTGGAGAGATGTCCAGGGAGACACACTGGGGAGGGGGACCTCCTGCCTCCCTATTCCTCCCTAGAGCTGAGACTCCCCCTGGGACTCAGAATTCCAATAGGGGTACCCGGGGTGCAGGGGTACCCGGGGGTGCAGRGATACACGGGGTGCAGGGGTACCCGGGGGTGCAGGGGTACCCGGGGTGCAGGGATACCCAGGGGTGCAGGGGTACCCAGAGTGTAGGCATACATGGGGTGCAGGGACACCCGGGGTGCAGGGATACTCAGGGGTGCAGGGGTACCCGGGGTGCAGGGATACCTAGGGGTGCAGGGACACCCGGGGTGCAGGGGTACCCAGGGGTGCAGGGGTACCTGGGGTGCAGGGGTACCCGGAGTGTAGGCATACATGGGGTGCAGGGGTACCCGGGGATGCAGGGATACCCAGGGTGCAGGGATACCCGGGGGTGCAGGGGTACCCGAGGTGCAGGGGTACCCGGAGTGTA